AAAGCTGACCGAGAGGCCCATCTGCAGATGCCTAATTAAAGCCTCTTGTGTGTTGCATCAATTGGCGCGTGGACTCTTGATTCTTGGGGTGACGAATCCAGCTTGGGGACCCCTCCTCAATTCGGGGTACCCCAACACTATAGCCCATTTTCTACTACTGTCTTAAGTTTATCAAATAGTCCCATGTCTTCCCATTATAGTAGTTCTTCAAACCCTGCTAAATCCTAGTGCCCTGCGGCCCACGCGCTTAATAACCAACTTAACCTTATTTAATTCCTTATTCAGCACGAACACTCCAGATAAACCCTTAAACCATACTTCTCCAGCACCTTGAGTCCAGCTCCTCTTTTGTGATTTGCCTATATTTCTTCAAAATTTCCTGCCAATCTTTCATAATTCTCCCTCTATTCTTGGTACTGGTATTGGTAATTAAACACAGTGAAAGGAAAAAAAACCACACACACACAAAGCAACACCACCACCAGACAGAAGAACTTACAAAGAAGGTAAGCTATCTCAAAGTTTCACAGCAAATTTGTACATCATTGTTCAGAACAATGACCAGTTTTAGGAGTGCTCCTTCAAATTGAGGACGAATCTGACAAAAAACAAGTTTTATTGTAATTTAAATAAGTGGAAAGGAATAACGTGGAAAGGAATAACGTGGAAACTTTAAAGGGACACTAAGTTTCCCCAGGGCTACAACAAGATGGTCATGGAAAATGAGACAGCACAACACTGTCAGCTTCCTGCCTTCACTACATTGGGGATTTTTCTTTCCTTTCCGTAACCAGCAGAGCTCTCTGCCTTTTTTTTTTTTTTTTTTTTTTTTTTTGGTTTTTACGAGACAGGGTTTCTCTGTATTGTTTTGGAGGCTATCCGTCCAGCCTGGCCTCGAACTCACCGAGATCCGCCTGCCTCTGCCTCCCAAGTGCTGGGATTAAAGGTGTGCGCCACCACCGCCCGGCTCTGCCCTGTTCTATAGCTCATGCCTCCACCTGTGAACTGAATCTCCAGTGTGATTCACTGATGATTCAATCTTCAACTTCTTCTTGGTTTCTAGGTCCTTCCATCAACATTTAAACACAGGAAAAATGCAGCTTGGTTTTTTGACAAACTTTCCCTTTCCTCCACAAACTCTCCATCTTCCCGGTCATAACCTTTGCAGAGTTGTCTTTTTATACTTAAACTCCTATTTTGCCTCCTCAATTTACTGCCAAAAACGGTTACTTTTTCCCTCAACAATATTCCATATCATTTGAACATCAAAACTGACAGGAAATTTTGAATACAACCATCTACTTGTAATCAGGAACAAAAGGAGAAGCTACTTTTATAATGATTAAGGAAGGCAAAGGTTTGCAAGCAATTCATAGTGTGCTATGTGAATAACGCATTTTATCAAAGTTTTGCATATTAGTATTTTATGTCTCCTCGACTCTCAGTTATGTAGTTTATTTTATCCTGCCTTCCTGGGTATCCCTTTGAGCACAGACCTAGTCTGAATCTTAGAGTTTCTACTACATAGTATTAATACAGGCAATTTTGATGGAGTACAACACATTCTAACATACTTCCTTCCCAAAGGTTAGATGATGCTGCCTTTGAAGGAATTTTTTGTTGTTGTTTTGGTTTGTGATCTATTATTTTTAAAAAGAGATTTGGTGTTGATTACATTTTGTAAGGACATTACTTCATTCAAAAATATTCTTAATTAAAAACGAGAGCACACATTTTTAATCTGAGAGCATTTCAGTTTGCAAATCTTAATATTAGATTATTATTAGCCTCTAAACCAGGGGAAAACAGCAGAAATGTTCACTACATCTTAAGAGACATTGATCAAGCTAGCCGTGATGGTTCAAACTTTAATCCCAACACTCTGGAGATAGAGACAGAGTGCTGGAGAGACAGAGCGCTCGAGAGACAGAGACAGAGAGACTGATCTGTTAGCCCATAAAGGTACTGTCCATTGAAGCAGGCAATTAAGAGATTCGTAGTTAACTGTGTTGAAATGAAAGCCTCTTGGTCATAAGAATCACATAAAAAGGAAATCAAGACATTACAAATGTTTGCAGTTATCCAGGCCTAAAAAGCTGGAGTGCAAATTAATAAAAGCACATTAAAACTATTAGCATCAACTGGAAAATTTTTTTAGATACATACCCAGACCAAAATCTGTTTCTAATATTATTCTGGCTCTGTGACTGAGGTGACATACAAGACAAATTGATTTGGTGTGCTGGAAAAGATGGGCATGGTATATCAAAAAGGTCCTATCCAAACAGAGCTCGCAGAAGCCAAAGATTACTGGATTAAACACAAAATAAAAGTTAATATGTACAAGTCTATATTGGTATAAATGATTCAGTGCATAGTACAAAAGAAACAAATTTCCCCCCAGAAGAAAAAAAATCCACATTCTCTATGAACTATTTCTCTTCCCCTAGGAGGGAGATATTAACACACCTGATCCACTGCGTACCTCAGCTGTGTTTAGTTGTTTTCCCCCAAGAAACTATGTGGGTGATCTAGTAAGCACAGAGTGAGAAATTTCACATTCTGCACAACTGCCTGATCAAGTTCAGTGTCAGTCGTGTCAATGACAACACGGTAGTACCACTGGTGTTTCAGGTAAAGAACGACTTGCTATGCTGTGTCTAGTTGACATCCCTGGGAGGTCTACTCTTTTTTGGAGTGGCAGGGATGGGGAGTAGAAGATGAGTGAATCTCCTTCCATGGGGGAAGAACTGGGAAGAGTGGAAGGACAGGAGATGAGAGAAAATTTTTAAAAGAAAAAGAATCACTGCGATAGTCCTCCTCCAGTCCATAATCCCAATTTAACCATGGGGGGGTTATCACAAAAATCCAAATTGAAGGACATGCTGCAAAATAACTTTCTCAAAACTGTCAAGGCCATTGGAATAAAGGAAGAGTGACACAATTGCAGACCAGAAGAGACAAAGACCAAATAATTCTTAGCTGGTATCTGACAGAATCTGGAGATAGAAAAACTAACCAGAGTAAAAAGCCAGGGAAACCCAAATTCAGTGTACCTTGGTTGTAGTCAAAACCTCTCCTTATGTCAGATATGCCACAAGAATGAAAGGTGCTAAAAATAGGAAACTGAGTGAAAGAAATACCACAACTCTTTCTGCAATTAACACACACACACACACACACCCTAAAGTAAAACTTTTTAGTTGGAGATATGACTCCTCAGGAAAAAGTGTGTATGAAAGAACACATGAACAGCAGCAGCGCCATGTAATTTCTAATTCTGGATAAACGTCTCATAAGTCCATCTACTATAGAATTAATTAGTTGTAAAAAGCACTCAAAAGTGAAATAAAACCAAACCACCAGTGTTAGAAATAGAAATCAGGGCCTTTCAAATGCTAGGCAAGTGCCTGGCCTCTGGGCTGGTTCCACAGTCCTGGTTAAAAAAATCATGCAGTGAAATCCTATGAAGCAATGAAAACATAGGGCCTGCCACATGTTTCCAGGATGAAGCTTACAATGAGCTTCATCAAACCCAACAAAGGTTATATATGACATAAACCTGTTTTAAAAGATCAACACAAGGAGAATTATACCAGGCTGTGCCATTTTTAAATGTATTTTAAATGGGCTCTCCTATCATCTGGGAGGGAGGTAGCTACTACAAAAGTCAGCTGGTGTGACCTCCATGGTGAGTGGGAGAGAGTAGAGTGGATATGTTTGCGTAGTTCTCAGGTGCTGGCTTTTATCCCATCAACTGGCCATGGCTTGCAGGAGTTATCACTTGCTAATCACTTACTAAACTTCACACTTAGTTCCATAAGCACTTTTTGATTCCCACTACATTAAAATATCATTTTAAAAACTTTATGGCACCAGAAGGGCCTGAAACAAATCAGGGTTATTGAGCAAGTGAGAAAGCGCTCTTGTACACAAGCCACTGACTGACAAACATTCCAGAAAATGTTCAAACTCTAAAATTCCAGTAGATTGACAAAAAAAAATTGCAAACCAGTGGATACCAATTCTCAATGATCAAGTGGTAAAAACATACCTAAAAAACAATAGTACATGGTAAGAAATGGAGAAGCATATACTGTGGTATAAATGTTAGTAGTTATCATAGTCTTGGAAACTCCAGAGCCCAGAGCCACTGAAAACTTTCAAAATCTGACTTTTCAATCATTACTTTCTTTAGGAATTTATGCAAAGAGCCCTATATAAAGGTTTTTTGCTTTTAAAGAAAATAAATTCATAAAATGCATATGGGCTTGCTCGATATTTGTTTTGTTTTTGTTTGTTTTTGCTTTTGTTTTTGCTTTTCAGGACAGGGTTTCTTTGTAGCCTTAGATGTCCTGGAACTATTTCTGTAGATCAAGGTGGCCTTGAACTCAAGATATCCACCTGCCTCTGTCTCCTGCATGCAAGGATTAAAGGTGTGTGTCACTACTGCCAGGCTACTGTTGATTTTTTTTAAATCATTAAAATGACACAATCAAGCAGCCAAAATGGTGAAAAGGCAATGCCCATTTGTCAAGTCCCAAGGAGATAATAAACTTGTCAGGAGCCAAAGCAATTCTGGTCACTGTTGGACTGGTGGGAGGGGGAGTGACAAAGCCTCCAATCACGGCTTTCTATATTTTTCTAGAAAGAGACATCCTGGTAGTATGTAGCCCAGGGACCACTACGTTTTGGAGAGGCTTTATTGTTAACAGTAAGGAAAATCAGCTGAGAAAAACTCAGGGTTGAGAAATACCAGGAAACCTCAGACTAAAGGACAGCCCAAGAACAGAGGAGAGGGTGGTTATATACCATTTTAACTCAGGGCTGTAGGTGTTAGGCACTCCAGGGGTCCTGGCAAGACTAGGTCTCCATTCTCCGATGCAGGTCACATCCCTTTCCTATTTTGCATGCACAATGTGGGCATTGGTAGGATTCACACTGAGGCCTTACTAGCCTAAGAGCTCACAAAATACACATCTGAGAAGGGTATTTCCTACCTTTGGTCTGAGTCGGAGCTGGTGATCAAAGTTAAGAAAGCGTTGAGAAGCACGACTTAAACAGGAAAAGAGACACCTGCTTGAGAAGCCTCTGTAGGTTCGGTGAGAAAGGAGCTCACTCTTTTAGCTCTTAAGACCTCTGGGCTTGTTGCCGCCTTTGGGCGGGGCAGGCTCTTCAGCAGGGCTTGGTGGCTGGCTCAGTTGGGCCTCAACACCTGCCCAACAGGTTTCTCTTCTGATTGGCTGGCTGGGTAAAACCTCTGCTCCTGAGTGTCTATGCCTCGCACTCTTCCAGATGCAGTTCCTACCCAAGAGATAATTTCTGTGCTGGCACATGTGTAGGACCACAAACTTGTACTGAACTACAAAATTTGAATTATGCTATTATGAAATATTTTTCATTTTTGCTTTATCACCTAATAATTTTACCTGTTAACTATTGATGGTTTCTTCCTGCCTTCCCAAGTTGGTACCCATTGCGGCTTTCCTCAATACATAAGATCTGTCACTCTCTGTGGCTCTTAAATTAGCCTACAGTTAGATGACATTTCTGATCTGTTTGCTTATGATCATTTTGTTAAGGCAGCTTCACACGTGTTTCTTACAAACCATAAAAAGATGGATTTTACTGCTTCACCCGGTCTGTTCCTGGTCTTAGATAGGAAAACCCTCTAATCTCATAGATAACATAGCTTGTCGTATTCTTTCCATACTACATTGGAGTTTGCATTATGTGACTGTTTCTTTCCCGCCTTTTTTGTGGGGGTGGAATATGCTTTTGGGGTTTGTTGTTTCATTAAAGTCCTTTCTTGATTTGTTCTTTCCAGTTAAGAGACCTGACTGAATGGGAGTGACTTCCTACAGATAGTTCTATCACCATGACAGGTGCTTACATTTTGGCTGATGGATTGCAACAGGTTTATCGAGATGCCTGTTCTGTTGAACAGAGTTTTAACTTTTCCCATGACAAACAGGAAATCAAATGTCTTTCCCCTTCTTTTAGTTAACTTACTCTTTTTTTTTGGTCTGGAAGCTCATGTTTTCTCATTACCCTTAGAATGTAGAAATTATAATTCATAAAATACACCCAGTATGCCTTTACTCATTAATCTGGACAAGAATCATCAAGCCTAAAAACAAAACATTTCAGCCCCAAGAAAGTTCTGTTGTTTTTTTCAGCACCCCATGAGGTATTTTCTCCTTTGGGATTCTGGTGGCTGCACAGACCTTTTAGCATTTTCTCTGTTTTCTTCCACTACTATCTTTTTTCTTTCTATGCTTTGGGATGTGACTTAAAATTGTACTTTTCATTTGTTTATTATGTATGTGTTTGTGACACAGTGCACATGTAAAGATCAGGAGAGTTGGTTGTCTCATTTCTACTGTATGAGCTCTGGGGCTCAAACCAAGGTCTTCAGGCTTCTAGCAAATACTTTTGCCTGATGAACTATCATCCCAACTTTGGGATGGGACTTTATCTAAATCATACAGCTTATCATTGGGGTTAAAACTAACCATCTTCTCCAACCCAATTACTAAAATGATCAGGAAGCGACATAGAATTTAGTTTACTCCCCAAAATCTTGCTTACCCAATGCTTCAATGTTTTCATTTTGTCTTCTGCATGTTTTCAGTTTTATTTCTTCAGATGCATGTTCTATTTATTTCTCTGACAAATGGCTCTTCATAGAGCCATTTACTTTTGATAGTTAATTTGGATCCAGGTATGGTTAATTGAATATTTTAAGTGCCAGCAGTTCTACACCTGGGGAAGCACGCAGGAAGGGCTCATCCTTTTCAATCATTAAATGGGAGTGTGGCGCCCAGCACTGTTCTCCAAGGACACCTGGGGAAAGCTTCCTTGCTCTCCTATGAGTACTCAGATTGAGCACAGGAGGGGTCAGCCTACACTTTCAGCTGCTTAGTCTTGTGGGAGACAAGGAAATCTATACATTTTTACAGGTCTCCTAGGCTTGCCACACACCTACACACCTGAGGTGCCAGGCCTTTTTTTTTTTTTTTTTTTTAAGAAACCCACATTTCCATCCTCATACCTGGATCTCTCCTGCTGTTTTCCACATTTATATCCAGTCACAGGGAAGAGGCTAAGAAGACATCCCACACTAGGTCTCTAACTTGGTACTCAGAGCCCAAGGATGATCTCTATAAACTCCAGTTCCCTGATTTAGGAACTGTTAGCTAGCTGAGTTCAGGGAGTGCAGAGCTCATTTCAGTAGACTTTTTCTAGGCTATCATTCACACTGTGCACATATCTTTAACATAGAGTCTGATCTTTTTGGTGACTGATCTTTTGAGACAGGAGACCAATTCAGTTTGTTTGTTTTAAGGATTAAAAAGTTCTGTTTTTTTTTTCCTCCCAATTTTCATCAACTTTGGTATGGGGAAGATATTATCAGTCTTATAGATGGGTGTTCTTAATTAGCAATCAATTCTTTGAAGCAAATCCCAGGACCCACTTATCTCTCAAAACGAGTTTAAAATACTCAAAAACCACATCCCCAGATACAAAGTGTATATTCTTAACATGTGAGACAGTAGTCATATAGCCTCATCATCAGTATTTGATGTTTCTGTGTGCCGAGAACACTGAAATCCTATGGCAAGGGCTTTACCTGGGTTTGGAATCTTCAGATTCACTAGAGAAGCTTTGCAAACGTGAAGACCAAAGCAAGGACTTAACCCACAGCCCAGATCTTCAAATTCACCAGAGCAGCCACGCGAGGGAGAAGCCCTATATTCGTCATGAATGTGGGAGAGCTTCAGCAAGAGTTCAAAGCTTCTCACTCACCAAAGGGTGGGGACCTTGGCAAGGGATTCAGTCAGCATTTACATCTTCTCATCCATCAGAGTCCTCAGAGAAGAGAAACTACAAATGTGACAGTTGTGGGAAGGTGTTTAGTCACAGTTCTAGTCTTCATATTCATCAGAGGGTTCACACAGGAGTAAGTGGTATCTATGTGCATGCAAAGTGCACTAAGGATTTCAGCCACAGCTCAGCTTTCAAATTCATCAGAGTCCGTGTGGGAAAGAAAATTTATAAGCCCAGAGTACTGTAAAGGATTCAGTCAGAATTAATTTCTCCACAACAATCCCAGAAAGGAAACTGTATGTCTTGTTTAAGAAAAACAAGAGGCTGGTTTAATAAAAAGCTAAGCAGTCAATACCTAGAGGTATAGCCCAGACTTCTTGGGACGAAGAAAGGCAGAGTCACCAGGAGACCCAGAGGAAGCATGATATGTAGGAGATGAGGTAACAAGCCATGAGCCACATGGCAGCATGTAAATGAATAGAAATGGGTTAATTTAAGTTGAAAGAGATAGATGGCAACAAGTCTAAGCTATGGGCTGAGCTTTTATTCCTTTTTCTTTTTTGGGGGGTGATGGTTTCAAGACAGGGTTTCTCGGAAGACTGTCCTGGAACCAGCTCTTGTAGACCAGGCTGGTCTCAAACTCAAAGAGATCCGCCAAGTGCTGGGATTAAAGGTGTGCGCCCACCACCTCCAGGCTTTGGCTGAGCTTTTATAATTAATAATAAGTCTCTGTGCTACTATTGGGGAACCGGTGGTCCTGATGAAAAAGTCCCACTACAAAGCTTAACCTTTAAACTTAATATAAGCGACAGGCAACGAAATTCTATAGATATCAGAAATGATGACAAACAACAATTAGAGTTTTCCCCCACTCCCTAAGAGTAAACTAATCTTGGTAGGGGGTCTGTGTAGGAGAACAATCACAGCCTGCAGTCATCCAGGAGGAGGAAGTGTTGTGCCAAAATTCTGAAACCCCAAATCACCAAGAGGCCCATTTCAAAGGTCTTTATTGTAGATGTTTAATGAGCTAACCCCATTAGCTCAGGCCCTTCATCCCGCCACCATGGAGAATGGCTGAAGAAAGACCCTAAGCAACCTCGAGCCAGAGATCTTAAAGGGCAGTGTAAGGGGAGTGTCTAGGGGCATGAAACAGTCTCAGGATTGGTGAGCTTCCAGGTTTGGGTGACTTGCCCTGTGTTGATTGGTCAGCTGGTTGTTATGGCCCATAGGCCCTCCCAGGGCAGTTGCTATGCTCTGCAGGTCACTGTTGTGCACTGTCCATAAAGCACACCCAGAGCTGTAAAGCACAGCCCTACCAGCTAACTTCTGATTGGTTCCTTGCCACGAGGAGGGCATCTGACCTTAGTGACCAGGACAGGAGCTGCAAGGTCGTGCAAGCACATGTTATCCTGTAATGGCTGCTAAAATGGGGGACTGGTCACTACAGAACTACTACTGTTTGAGTCTTTCTATATACACTCCACATTTTCTATACATCCTTACTCGAGCCTGACCATGGGAAGGCCTTGCCATTCCTGTGGGTCTGAGGCACTGGGGCCCTTGCCATGGTTATGCGGATATCAATAATGCACATTCATTACGGACTTCATCTGCTTACCACACTATATATTTAAAATAAACGTGTATATATATTTACCATAAATACTACTTCTATTAGAGGAGAATTTGCACATTCTAAACATGGAGTTACTAAGAGTATATATGTCCTTTGTATATGTTTAGATGACTTCCCAAGAAGAGAAAAAAAGTTAAATGGACCCATTTCAGTCAATAAAAGAATTGTTAATACCAAAGAATGGAATACCATCCTGAAGTCTCAGATGTCTGTAACACTGGAGATTAAAAAAGAAAATCGGTACCCTCAGTAGCATAACAGAAAACTGAGTGGAGCTGCAGTTTAAGTCCATAAATTCAGAAGATCCTCTGAAGCCAAAACAGAAACAGATATAGTGAATGACTTAGGGGGATTTTAATGTTGTGTCAGATGGAGGCATGAGAAGCAGAGTTAATACTGGAATGAGTAAATGCTTCCATCTTAAAAGGACACTGGGAGGGGAACGATGAGAAAGGAGGTGTAAGGAGAGCAAGGAATGCAAATGAAATGCAAGGGTTGAGGATGTTTTTAAAAAAACACTTGAGGATGGGAGGGAGAGGGAACTGGGATTGATATGTAAAATAAGATTGTCTCTAATTTAAATAAAAAGATATATTTCAAAAATAAAATGTATTTGTAGTAAAGATACATAATAATAAAAAAGACTCTTCTGTCCAAAACAAAAAC